CATGTGGCAAAGCTCTATTACATGTTGGCAATATCAATGTTATTGATTCAAATAAATACTTACATAGATGTTTCGTGACTCGTTACATATCAATAAAGGATGAAAAATCTCTAGGTACTTGAGAGAATACTGTATTAAAAACACAAAGTAGAGATGTAAACTGTAAAAGGAATCTCAGAGATAATATAAGTAGACAAAAACAGAAGCAAAACCATAATATCCTCAGAGAAATGTGACAAAATATCGTATCCATGAACCAGAAATAGAATTTTATTTTTTAATAAACTATAAAACAAAAATAAAATTTTTACTATTAATTTTTAAAAACAAAGCAAAATCTTAAGAGACAAAAAAGGGAAAAATTTTAAAAGCAAGGGAATGAAATGAGATGCAAAATAAGAAGGAGAGTGTTTTAGAATATTGATTTAGAAGTGACAACATCCAACTAAATTCCAGGAAACCCTCCACATGGTGGCTCATGCCTACAATCCCAGCATTCAAGAGGCTGAGGCAGGAGGATAGCTGTGAGTTCAAGGCCAGCCGAGGCTCCACAGTGAGTTCAAGGCAGTCTGACTATGTAGCAAGACCCTGTCTCAAAAACAAAAACAAAAGCACGTTTTAGGGAAAAAAATACAACAAACAAAACAGAAAAAGTAGTGAGAAAGAAATTATCAAAGAAATAACAGAAGAAAATATCACCAAACTAAAGAATCTAAGTTTCCAAGCTGAATCAGTCCAATGCTCAAAATAACAGTGTTAAAAAAAAAAAAAAAAAAAAAAAAAAAAAAAAAGACTCATACCAAGGCATAACGTCGGAGGACTAGAGATAGAAAACTCCTAAATTTCCACATTTAAAACAAAACATAAAATGGTAAGGAATTAAAATATAATATGACTTCTCAACAGCAACAGTAGAACATCGCTGACCGTGGATTAATCTCATGATGCTACTTTTTCCTCAGACTCTTCCCAAGTTTTCCCTTCTCTCCACATTTTCCCTCGTTACCCAAGGAGTTGTGTGACTTCTAAGCTGTTGGCAGCTACTCTTTGACTGGGAAGAGAACCAGACTTCGAGAGAAGTAAACAAAACTGACATTGCAGAAGGCAGAACAAGAAACAGAGAAAAGCCAGGACCTCAGTGAGAGTGAGAGTGCTGGGTTAATGAGCCCGTCTCTAAAGCCCTTCCTGCATCCCCATGTTGCATTACAGGGGCCAGGTAGCTGCTCCATGGCCATTTATGACCTGGCCTTAAAAGTCACTAGGACATTTTATTCTTGTTTAGGTAGTCACAAGCCTGTTCAGATTCAAGGAGAGCAGAGGAAGACCAGCTCCTCCCTTTGAGAATAAAGCTACTAAGCAAACCATGAGGCCCGACTGCAGGCATTCCTGCAGGTACGTGTGTATTGTACCACACGGTCATTCCTAACCTGTGGGCAGAACACTCACAGAGTCATTTCATGCAGTTTTTTTGTTGTTGTTTTTTGTTTTTTGTGTTTTTTTGTACCAGGAATCAAATTCAGGACCTTGCACTTGCAGGCAGGTACTGTGCTGCTAAGCTATATCTCTGGCCCTCACAGAATTATTTGAAAGGATTCAGGAAGCTATTTGTATACAAAGCATTTTATACAGCTTGACGAAACATGTGCTTTGTATATTATCAGTAAGTGTACTCTCACCATTAAAGCACAAGTTCTGACCTTACAATTAAAAAGATGCAAACTCACATGAAAGTCTTGCTGTAAAGTCATATTTTGTATTTTCTATATATTTTTGTATTATATATTTTCTGATTGTGGATATAAAACATACAGCTAACACGTAGGGATGATATTTTTTATGTTAAAAATGCTAAGTGAAATAAACCAGACACATTTGTAAATACTGCATGGCTTCTCTTATATCAGAAACCCCAAACATAAATAATTTAAAGAGCAAAATACAAGAGAGATGATAGAAAACAAGGAGGCTGACATTATGCAGATAGGATTTAGGAATGGAGGAGGAAAAGAAAAGAAGAAATTAAAAAGACTAAATGTGCTATGTATATGTATACATGCCAACTCAAGATCAATGCATGCATTATATATTGCAAACACATACTAACAAAAAAAGAATCATATTCTCCAAATTAAGTTACTGTCTTCATACTACACCACATTTCACACTGCCTAAATCAGAGTCCCTGAGGAAAGGCTGTGTGGAAGCAACGGCACCGCCTGCCAAACCCACAGCCCTGTCAGAGGCTCCAGACAGCCATGTCTTGTGCCACAGGCCTAATCTCTCACCTGCCATCACTGACTGGACCAGAGGCAGGAGGCTGACCCAGTCAACCTCAGCTGGCCAATGACTTTTGAGGTGACCTAGCACAAAAACCTGCCAATTAGGGACAAACTGAAGTCTTCTGTCACACCACAAGGAAGTCATGCCCTGACATAACAAAGAACCAGGCCTCTGACTTCATCAGTCCTCTGAGCCCTGAGGAAAAAAAATCAACCAAAACACAGAGGCAGCCACATAGAAGTACAGGTAGAATTTACTATGAAAATGCCACAGAGAAGGCCCACGAAGGTATCAGCACCAAGGGCAAGGTTAGATATATTTTATACATCTTTATCCATTTTAAGTGGGAAATTTTCTATCTATGAAAACAGCAGACCGATGCTACCTCGGAAGCCCCAGGACAAAGAGAGAGGGTCTTCTCCAGGGCGACACGCCAGAATCAGCCCGGAAAATTCCTCCTCATGGAATGCTTGGGACCCATCAGGTCTACTGACTCAGAACCTCCCAGGTATTTAGACGCTGGGAAAGCTTTAGCTGGGAGTCCCCCATCGCTGCTTCCCTCTCTTGAATGTCAGTGAGGTCCAGTACCTTCCTTAATTGCCCTCCGTACACTTCCGCAGTTAATGCTCCTGCCTAAGTGGGTTCCTACTCCTTCCACACAAAAGCATCTAACTAAAGTCACTAAAAGGACTACTACAGAAGAAAAAAAAGAAAAATTTTTAAAGAAGATTTTTGTAGCAGCTGCTAAAGATAAACAAAAACTGCAGGAGATAAGTTTTCCTATGGAGTCACCATCCAGAAAAACAGGGTTGTTTCTGATGTTTCATCCTAAAAGGCTCATAAGGAGCTGGTTTCCTTTGAAGAGTTATTTATAACTTTTTTTAAAGGAAGAGGAAATCCTCAAGAATATTGGCCTATAAATAAATAAATGCAAGTACATGCCTTTCCCTTGACCTTTCTAGATACATGAGACTCTTAATGAACAAAACCAATACCCCAGCCACAGAGAAGCCCGCTTGTTCCTCTGCCATCACGTGTGTTTATATTTCATCTCTCAGTTTGTGGGCCTTTTCCATCTTATTATCTGGAACCAGGAGAAGTATCTCAGACACCAGGGAAATCTGGGATGTTAATATTCAATTAAAACAAATCTCTCAAATCGTTATTTCTACAACGTATTTGCAAACTGTGACTTCAGGGTATTAAGTGGTGTTCAGGTCTCCGCTAGTGGGAACTGAAAGAAATGTGAATATCCAAAAGAGTTAGCACTAATCAATCCCCCTGGGCAGTTCATTCCCTGTGAAGGAGGTTAAAAGTGGCTGTGTGCTGCAGTGCTGTGGCGGAACCTGAAAACTAAAGTTACCCATTACTAATGGTCCTCGTTGCATTATTTTTTGTCAGTTTTTTATAGTTCTTTGTCATTCACCTTTTTTTTTTCTTTTTTTTTTTTTTTGACACTGGGGATCGAACTCATGACCTCACATTTGCCAGGCAGGCAAATTATGCCACTGAGCTAAATCCCCGGCCCCCATTCACCGTTGTTAAGACACACACCTAACATTGCTTCTGTTATCCTAAAGGTTCAAAAGTACTCTTCCTTCCCTCTTTGCCCAGCTTACTTTGTGCACTTTTGTACACAGTGATGATTCTGACCCTTCCCTATTATTCCACTGCTTTGAGACCCCAAAGAATTTCACTTCTTCCATGGAAGTCCGTACATCTACCCAGGAATAGATCATCGTTGAGGCACCGGTACCCCTTTATATCATTTGCCTAAAACTTATTCTATAATAGCCAGGACTCAGTTAGCCTGTCTGCTAACAACTCATCATTCTCTCAGTCATGAAGGTCACAAGTGGGGGTGGCTGTTGACTATTTCATTTATCTTTTATTTCCTGCCTTACAGTTCTGTGGCTTTATCTCCAAAAAATCTTTTGTTTGAACAGTGAACCTATGTTGTTTCCGTGTATCCAGCATTTCCTTTTTTGAGGACTCGAAACAAATTTTTTTCTTATTTTGTTTTTCTGTACTATTTCCTAATGCCTAGCACAGTGACATGAAAGAAATAGATATTACACATCGTTTTGTCATGTAAAGAATGTATACAATTGTTCAAAATTTTTAATTTCCACCTGCTTATAGCCAATAGTATTCAACACTAAGATAGATTCACTGCAATGTAGTTTATGACCCAAAATTATTATTTTCACTGTGAATCTGGCTCAGAAAAGTTGAACCTGCGATTTTGAATTGTGAGACTTCAATCCAAAGACAGAACTATTCATATATGAAATTATTGTAAAGGAACTGATCATCTTGAATCTAAAAGAAAATACACATAACTCTACATGGAAGCCAGATGTGGTGGTACACTCCTGTAGTCCTAGTACTCTGGGAAGTTAAGGCAAAAAGAATGCAAGTTCAAACCCAACCTGGACAATTTACGAAGATCCTGTCAAAAAATCAACAATTAAATGGGCAGGGAATATAACTTAGTGCAAAGACCTTGTGCTCGATTTCCAGTAACACACACATACACACACACACACAAACCAAACAATCCCCCCCATAAAAAAACCCACTACATACTGGATGCCAGTGTTAGTTTTAACAGAATATTTTTCAAATCAAGATAACTTACTACAATCACCTAATCCTGATGCAGAAACTCAAACTCTGAGAGCCATACAGTTACCTAAATGATTAAATATGACAACACATTGATCTTAAAACAGTTACATGTTTTTATTACATAAAACTTGAACATTTCTTGTGGGAGTTGGTCACCATTTGCTTTTCACTTTGACAGAATGTCATATATCTACAGAAATTATCTAAGAATGGCTTTATGAAATATTCCCCAATCTCTCAAAAAAAAAGTTCCATTGGTTACATTTCCCAACCAGATTCCTGAGAAAAATAATAGGTTCTGTTTATTTTACAACGCAGTTCATACAATTCCTTTTAAGATATAAAAAAGGGAAGACTTCTAAAATATGAGTCCCCTTCCATTTACCAAGTTTTATAAAAATACATTAAATTCACATTTGTTCTTTGACTTAACATTCCAGTTTATTAGAAAACCAAAACAGTAATACGCAAAGATGTGCACACCACATTAATCTTGCAGCAGTACAATGTCGACATCGTCATGAACACCTTGTAAAAGCAGCTCTCCTGGGTAGGTAACAATCTTCCTTCGTTTTGCAGCTTTGAGCGTTCCGACCAATGCTTCAAAGAGGTTGGCACATTTGTCATCTCGGAAAAGGACCCCAAACTTCACGCTTAACCTCCCATCAGCATCTAATTTGAGAAAATACAGTGTCAGCAAGTGCAAAGACTGCTTGTTCACTTTAATAAATAGCTAACTACAGGTTAACCAATATGACAATTTAACACTGTGGCAAGAATTCCAGGTAGCCGCTTCCTATGGCTAGACCTCCTAGCCTTAGCATTATGTAGACAAAACCTGCAAGAGAACAAAGAGACACTTAGGAAAGGTGGACATGCTATGATTCTAATACTGTAGATGAACTTCTCTCAGTTTGGTTTCTTTGTTCTTGCTTCTGTTTGCTGAGACAGGGTCATGCTATGTAGTCCGGGCTCACCTTAACCTTGCTATGAAGCCCTTGCTGAACTTGAACTCATAATCTTCCTACTTCAAGCTCCCAAGTGCTGGGATTACAAGCATGCACTAACCTCACCTGACTCAATTTAAAAAAACTGTATGAACGCGACAAAGACAACAAATAAAAAAGAAACCCAGGATCAAGAGTGTTTCTCCTAAGTGTGCTCTGAAGCCCTGGGTAGGAGTGGGGGACTTAAAAATGTGAAGTTCTCAAGTCCACTGAATCTGAATTCTGAATAGGCCCAGGAATCTACAGTCAACAAAAACTCTAGGTTATCCAATTTGGAGGCCACTTTTCAACACAGACATTGAAAATTAAGAGTGACAAAAAGCTGACCAAAGGTTACTGAAAATGGGAATGTCACTGAGTTGTCAGCATACACAGAACTGTTAGGCACCCTCAGGCATATTCTCCTAATTCTCTGGGTTTCAATGAATTATCCACCAAGTCAAAGGAAAATACCTTAGTTAGGGTAGTTGCATGGATAAACAGACACTGTATATAAAGGTAAAGCTGCTTATGGAGTGTCTAGCATACAGCAAACTTTCAGTTCAGATTAAATTTTTAAAAGCACCAAAGGCAGGAACCTGGGTCCAGTCTTGGAGCTGTCCTGCTCCCTCATCTCTCAGTTCACAAGCATGCAGGTGGTTTCACCTTCCTCAGTCTTCTGCACAGCTAAACTCTCCTCTTCAGTGAGTGCTCATTCTCAGGTTGAGACACTAATTGTTTCCTACTTGGATAAAAGCAAGCTGGTCACTAACTCCTTCCCATGTTTGCCCTCTGATGCATCACCCATATTGGTGTGGGATAGAAAGTATAGAAGAAATTGTAAAAGATGCGCATGTGACTGACACTCTTTGACTTTCAATGGTTCCCTACCATCTGCAAAATACAATGAAGCCCGGGACCTCACAGCTGAGATCCCAGGCAGGTACCCACTCACTGCTGCCTGGTCTCCTGCCACAGCGCTCCATATGCCGTACGATCCAGTCCCAGTGAACCACTTACTACTGCCCACGGGGTCTCAAGGGATCCTGCTTTCATAATTCTGTCCATGCTGAGCTATCTCCCAAGCAGCCCAGACTCCCTTCCCTAGTTACACCATTTTTCTTCAAAAATGGACTCAAATGCCATCTTCTCAGGGATACCTTCCATGATTTCATCAGTTAACATCTCTTCTTATAACACAGATTATGCTTATCAAAGCATTTACCATCAATAATATTAACAAGAGATAACATTTATTGAGGACTCACTGTGTTCTTAGAACCGTGTGATGCATTTTAATGTCATTACAATTCATGAACTTCTCATTTCAGAGAGAAGATGTCACTGACTCCAAGAAGCATCATTATTTTATATTCCAATTAAAGTAACCAATTAACAAGAGCATACCATATATTAATATGCATCCTTGCTTTAGAGATTTTAAAGTACAAAAACTATTTTTTAAACTGACAAAGTTGTATGCATTTAAAATGTGCAAATGTGTGACGTGAGGTACTGGAATATGTACACACTGTCCAATTGTTAAATTGAGCTAATTAACATATATTACCTACAATTTTGAAGGTAAGAACTCTAAAAATCACTCTGTGATTTTCCTTTGAACTGCTGGGACAGAGTATTGTTATTGTTATGTAAATAAGGAAATCAATAAACAAAAGCGTAGTTATGCACTGAAGGAAACAGTACGCATGTAGAGAGGCTGTGATTCATTTCTGAAGAGTCTGTCTGTAGAGCCCACGTTCTTAACTACTTCCTAATGCTCCTGGTTTGTCTGTCTTCCAGAAACCTAAAGAATGTAAGGCTGAGCTGCAAGTTTGTTTACTTCTGCAAATCCTGCATCACAGCACCAAAAATACTTGTTGGATGAAAGCATTTAAATCTCCAATTAATCATTCTCCATTTAATCTTTTCTCACTGGGTAAAAAAATGACACTGTAAAAAAATGTGACTTTAAAAGAAACAGATAAGACTTCATCAATTTCCAGCTTGAGCACATGCATGATATGTAGATTAGTCGAAATTGCTCCAGACAGAACTTAAATAATTAACCATAACATGTCGGACGATGACATGTCTTTTCCATATGTGATTTCCAGCTCAATAAGTCATCTTTCATCAAGAGCAAGAAAGTCAAGGCGTCTTGTAAAGCAGCAAAATTACATATAGAAGTGGTGCTACATATCTCAAGTCTTCTATTCTGTAAAGCTCCTCGCTTTGAAGCAGAGTTTCAACCTGCTGTGGTAGAATATAGACACACTCCCAAGGTATACAGGTCAGACTGACACATACTAGGTTGACATGGATAAAACCTTTGAAAATATGCCTTTCACATGCAAAGAACAGAGCCACTCTCAAGTAACCTGAATTTATCAAGTGCAGAAGAAACTAGGAATGTGAGAGAGGAACAATAAGAGTCACCAAACTCAAGTTATAAAATCAACACTAAAAAAACCCAATAGCTTTTCTATACACCAACAATGAACTAGCAGAAAGATAAGGAAAACAATATCGTTCACAATACTTTCAAATAAATAAATAAATAAAATACTTAGAAACTATTTAACTGAAGTGAAATCATAAACACACAAAGGGAGAGATGGAGGCAATGTGCAAAATATTAAATTTATTGTTTCATGTCACTACGTTTGTGGTAATCTATTACAGCAGAAACAGAAGAACTAATGTAGGAGAACTTGGAAATTAATGGTTTAATGAGTTTGCCGGAGTGTGCCGTTCTTTCAAAGGATTTGTGATTCGTAAGAAAACAGTTATAAGCAACATTAAGCTCGAGTGACAAAACAACTCTTACGTGGTACTTCTTAGTTATTTTTCACTTACATGTGTAATTTTAAAACTCTGAATTCCATTATCCAAGTTCTTGCTGAATGTGTTTACTGTTTTTTTCAGAATGCTCCCTGAATTCTTGCTTAGATTGTCTAGGATGTGCCCAACACCTAACACTAAAACAGGAACTCTCACTACAATGTAGGAAAGAGACTAATACTGTCCATCGTATATGTCACACTCTTCACAGGAGCTACGTCACTGCTGAAGAAAAAAAATGACATAAAAAATACCTGAAAGATGGTGCGTTTCAGTTATATGCTCATAATTGTATAAAAGCCAGGAATTCAGAGAAAATAAAGACAATGCAATATAATTTCAATCTAAGACCGTAGTAACTTCAAAGTTTAAAAAATAGTACCAGGGGGGCTGGGGATTTAGCTCAGCGGCATAAGTGCCTGCCGTGCAAGCAGGCAGTCGTGAGTTCGATCCCCAGTACCGATAAAAAGGAAAAAGACAAAAAAAAAAAAAAAATGGTATCAGAATAAAGGAGAAAACATGAATTTTAATAGGGTGACAAATAAAAATTTTAATGCAACTGGATGAAACAAGCTCCACAATTTTCTTTCTAATTTGAAAAATAATGAAACATCTCATCTATTCCTTGTCCCAGAAATCAGATGTCCCGACCCAGTCTCTGTGTCCCCAGGTGTCTCTAGGGTTATAGGCAGAACTGCCACTGTGTCCTAAAGCCATTGGTACCCCCACAGTGCTGGTTCAGCCTGTAACATAAACTCAGAAGAAATATTCTTTCTATCTAGGATAGGCACAAAGGTGCGTGCCTGTAATCTTAGCTACCCAGGATGCTGAGGTAGGAGGATGGCAAGTGTGAAGCCAGCCTGGACAATGAAGTAAGACTGTCTCAAAATGAAATTTTACCAAGGACAGGGAGGAGGGTTCAATGGCACAGCACTCACCTAGCCCTGAGGCAGGCCCTGAGTTCAACCGCAGCATTAGAAAGAGAGAAACAGCCAGGCGTGGTGGTACATGCTTACAATTCCAGCACTCAGGATACTTACTTTTTGAACCCAAGCGATGAATTTCCTCCACTAGGAGGTTAACTTCATGATCCACATTCATTATCACCTGCAAGAGAAAAAGGAAATCTCTGTTATTGCCATTTCTATATTTCATTTAGCACATATAAATCTAAGGGTTGTTTTCTTTTTTCTTCATATAGCATTTGTCACCGCAGTTTACTGTGCTCTTCTTCCTGCAAACACCTTTGTGATATGGATGGCACTACAGTGTCTCCTTGTTCCTTCTCTGCCACTCCTGCTCCTGCTTCCACATCTACTTGGGAGAAGGCAGCTCTTGTCTTTGACCACTGACGCTGCACATGGGTCCTTTATGTGGTGTCCTCATAGGCACCAAAATCACAAAAGGTGTACGGCACAGGATTCACACTTGAGAGCCGAGAAAGGCCTGGAGGCAACAATAATTTGACAGGCACTCTCTCTGAGTGGGGGTCCAAGGTACTGTGGGGGCCACAGAAGACTTAGCAGAGTTCAAATGGAAGGAGTAGGCCACACAGGCAAATGGGAAAGGATGTTCCATGCATGGACAGAGCCTAAGCAAAATTATAGCAGCAGAGAATGGAAAAGCCTAACACCCTTGGGGTAGCTCTGAATGAGAAGCTGGGGACCCCAAGATAAAGTGACATATTCCCTGCCCTTTATGGGGCTGCAGTCCAGTGGGGGAAGAAGGTAGAGTCAAGAGCAATTTTAATAACCTCAGGTCACGCAGTGATCACTGTCGTGTCACAGGCAGGAGTCAATAAACCTGAGTGCAGTGAAGAACTCTTGAAAGATGAGGAGCTGAGGTTTATCTTGCTTGCTAGGTCCGCCAAGGGCTGCGTTCTGTGTACAGATACAGCCTTCTCCCCTCCACACTCGGAGTCTAGGCTGTGGCTACACAGGATAGTGCGCTTTCCTCAAATGCCCCTCTCACTCCAGTCCTCACCCACGTTTCTCCAGCCCAGACTGGCTATTCCTCATTCTCAGGGGTAACTCACACATCCAGCCCCAGCATGGATAACTTCCTCCAGGAAGCCTTCCCTGAAGCCCTGCAGTAGGAGAGCTCCCCATTATATGTTCCCCCAACACTTCGGGGCCCTTCTTCATTGCACTCTGTTAAAATTACCCAGACTAAAAGGTAAACTCCTCTCTGTAGGAAGCTCCTTGTGATCACATTTGGTACCAAGAGTGGAGGTTAATCAAATCCTTGTTCATGAGCTGTCAAGCAGAAGGGTGAGAGAGGAGGGAGTCACTCCTGTAGGAGCATTAAAGATACAACTGGACAGAGTACGTATCAGTTCGGTCTGGTTTTCTCTCTTTTCCTTTGTTTAAGCCAGAAACTTGCTAAATTGTTCACAGTCCTCCTGCAACAGCCTCTGGTGTAGCTGCGATTATAGACATGTACCATCATACCCAGCAGTCTGTTTTCAAATCATACATTTTTTCCAAACTGCATAAAGGACTAAAACAGCAGGGCCATGAGTATGGTTTCCTTTAAGGTGACAATTTTGGAAAAAACAATTTTGTCCAGATGGATTCTAACCAATTCCTGGTAGCTTTTAAAAACAAGAGTGACATGTATGACTGTTACACCACCTGTTTAAATGATATTGACTGGGACACCAGATTTTCTCTCCACTAGTAATTAAAAGTGCTACTACCATCTGCTATGTTATCTGAGTGAGGATAATTTAAAGAACTCATATTACAATTAAATGTAAAATCTTCAATTAAATACATCACATAAAACTTACCAAAACCATAGTGTTCAAATACTGAGGACTGTACGTTAATGAAGTCAAACCTATAACATGTGCATATGTTATATGCAATTCAAGATACATTTTTTAAAAGTGATATTAAAAACTTAAAATACACCCAGAGAACACAGCCACTCTGCCAAAGGCCTGAACACCGTGCCTTGAGAATGCGTAATGGCAGAGAAATGTGTTCAGAGTGGTGCACAGCTGTTGTTTTTGCCTGCCCAGCACCACTCCCTGTGCTGGCAGGACCAATCTAATTTCCATTTGGCTACAGCAACCTCCTTCTTTATTCTAAACCCTCACCTGAGGCCCCTCATCCTTTAGGTCAGGATAGAAAGACTGGCTTGAGGCATTAGGGAGAGAGAGGATTCCATCTAGAAAAAACAAGGTCAGCTTGTTTTGCTAGAACTAGTAAAAACAAAACTCTCTTTTTCTTTTCCTTTTTTGTCTTTTTGAGACAGGGTCTTGCCATGCAGGTCAGGCTGGCCTTAAACTCACTTTATAGCCCAGGCTGGCCTTGAACTCACAGCAAACCCCCTGCCTCAGCCTCCTGGGTACTGCAATTACAGGAATGTGCCACCACGCCTGGCTGACAAAAGTCTTTTTCCACTGAATTCTAAAATGTAATTTATAGCCATGATGTAAATAACCAGTCTGTGAGAAAAGTCCAACGTAACTAAAGCTAACAGTAAAAACCTTACACCTCTAACAATGACTGAGCCTGTGTAGACCCTGGACTTTCTAGCTAGATAAACCAATGATATCTTTACTGTGTTTTCTATCTTTCTATTTTTCTTTCTTTATTGGTGTAGATTTATTTACATTTCTATCATTTGTACTCTAAAGAATCTTGACCCATACATTTGGCTTAGAGATCTGCTGTTATTTTTTTAAAATCAAGGTTCCTTTTAGGTACTTATGTGAATAGTCTTATTTGTGATGCACTACTGGGCAGAATGAATAGATGAAATATGAAAGCAGATTAGGAGCTGCACGTGATGGCACATGCCTGCAGCCCCAGCTCTTTGGTTGGGGTGTGAGGAATGAAGTACAAAGCCCCCTCAGGCAACTTAGTGAGACCCTATCTTTTATAAAGGAGCGGAGGGAGGGCACCAAGGATGTAGCTCAACACTCTGCATTCAATCTTCAGCACAAAAAAACAAGATAGGATTTGACAATAAGAAAATTCTCTGACAACTAAAAGTGCTTAACACTGACTAAAGTGTGACTCATAGAAGACAACGCAGATGTTGTTAAACTTCTGAATGATGATGAAGAAATCAGCTCAACCAGTTTGAAGAGCAGGCAACCAATATTTCTTTTATAATTGGGTTCCTTATCTAGGTTAATTTGTATAGTTCTAACCACCTTACAAAAGACTTATTATGTATTCCACTTTATGGAGAATGAAAATGGTTCTGTACAGTTAATGCCCACAAATTAAATGCTATTTCCACACATCATTCTGGCTCTTTCTCTCCCTCTATCGCACTTAATATAATAGTGTATTTGAATGAAATAGCACATGCTGAGTACTCACTAAGGCAGATCATTTACAAAGCAAGAAAGGCTTCCGACTCAGACCCCTAAAGTAGGAAAATAGGCTCACATACGACCGCTGGTATGCATAATTTGTCGTGCTTATTCATTTATTTCATTATTGCAAGGGACGCAAAGTAGAAAAACGTTCGTTGTCCCACGATCCTTGGAAGGCCCGTGAGACTTTACAGCGACAGAAGCCCGAGAGTGGAGTGAGCAAAAAGATGAAGAACAATGAGCAAGTCTAAGGAAGAGAAAGCGCTCCTCAGCGAGGGGCTGGCTGGCCAAGAAGAAAGGAAGAGCAGCACAAAGGATGGTGACAGCAGATGCTAGGCGGGCCTCGGGTCACAGAATTTATTAGGTTTTGTGCGTGGGACTCACAAAGCAGAATGCAAGAGGGTTACAGCATATGCCAAAGAGCCCCATCAATATACTCTTAGGAATCTAACTAAGAACCCTCTTATGATGTCATTTTTTTTTTTTTAAAGTTTGGAGGCAGTACATGGCGATTTGCTACCTACCCGAGTGGGGGTCCCTGGGAATCAAAAGCCAACTTCACACCCTGGAGGAGGGCATCTTCCCAGCCCCCCTCCTCATCCTCTCTTTGCAAGCAGGAACAGCCGGCGCGGGTCAAAAGATGACTGGGTTCCTTCCTCCCTCGCTGGGGCGCGCACACTCCATATTTGGTAATCGCTCCTGCAAGTTTGGGATCCTGCCAAGTGCGGGTCCCCACATCTCTCCTCTACAGGCCCATCACACGATCGATCATCACTGGTGCCACTGCAAAGTTGAGGAGCATCTGGCTCGGCCTCATTCTGGGGCAGCACGGCGCGCCCGCGGGTAGGGCTGCATCCCGGAAGCCTTTGTCTCAGGGACTCAGCGGCCAGCGCAGCTGCCCGCGCGCTCCAACTGCCCAGCGCGCCCAGAGCAGCCGGAGCGCAGGGCGAGAGGGGACCTGGCGGGGATCCGGGAGCCGCCCGCGTCCGCTCAATAACCCCCATCTGCGCGCAGGGAGCCGCAGCCTCCTCAGCACTGCAGGAGGCTCTGCCTTGCAGCCACCAAATTTCTCTGGGCAGCCTCTCCCTTGTCCTCACCTTTTCCCCTCCCAGCTCTGCAGATCTGGAACCTGAGAGCTTCAAATTCAAGACCCGCACGTTGCACCGCGGTGAAAAACTGCTGCCCCGGCGTTCGCTTTCCTCGTCCGCCCCCGGTCGGCAAAACGTCACGCGAGCCGGCGCGGAAGTGTGCGGGAGAGGGGGCGTGAGGAGCGCGACCCCGTCCCCGCAGGGCGTCCGGCCCCGCCGACCGTGCCTCGGCCCCCGGGGTCCCGGGCGCCCACCGAAGCCAACGAGGGCCCGCCGCTCGGCCTCGCGGGGCCCTCCTGTCCCTCCGTCCCTCCTACCTGGCCGGGCGACTCCCCTTTGGGCTCCGTTTTCTCGTCCAATGGAGAGCTGAGGCCGCGCGGGTCCGACCCGGGTGTCCGAGGGGAACGAGGAGGTAAAGGCTGAAGAAGGAAGTGGCCAGGGCGAAGATAAAGCTGCCTCGGAGGAGGAGGAGGAGGAGGAGGAGGAGGAAGAGGGGAGGAGCGAAGTGGGGGAAAGCGAGAGTTTCTGCGCTCGGGAGAGGGGCCGCCCACTCTCGGGGACCCGCCTGTGCGCCGGGAACTTCGGGGAGGACGCCGGCAGGGGGCAGGCTCCGGACAGGTGGCCCGCGCGGAGAACCCCGAGCCTCGGTGACCCACAGCCTTCCCGCCCCCTCGGAGCCCTCACCCACAGCCCCCTGCAGCCTATCCTGGTTGGTGACTTCTTGCTGGAAGTTTTCTCCCCAGAACAGGAACAAAACGCCCCCAGCGTGATAAATCCTAGGGTCAGGAAGACCACGGCTCACGTGGAATGGTCGGATTTGCAAAAACACAATGCGTTCTTGAAAAGCGGCTTGTTCTACTGCCTGGACAAAGCTAGCTGTTGATCCTGGGTCAGTGCAGGTTTTATCCCTTGATTAGTTGCTGTATCTAAATTTGATTTACTCATACTCCTTTTTAAAAAGTCGTGTGCGGAGGGGGCGTGCTTTCTCCACCGACTTTTGAGCCAACTTTTCCTGGAGCATAGATTGCACAACTACCCCCAAAAGACCTCTCCACACCCCCAGGGGACTGGATTAAGAGTGACTACGTGACCCGGCTGCATGCCATCCATAAAGTGGCTGTGCAGTAACCTCGAACCAGCATGCCTAACCGAGCATGGTGGTGATTAGCAACTATCTGATAACTGACCAGATGAAACTGATAATTAGTAAACCAATCAAAGTGTGCCTTGGAAAATGAAAGTGGAGGATGGAGACAGTTGTCTGGTAGAAAGGCTAACGCCGAGAAAAGAAGGGCAGGAGGTTAGGGGTCAAAATGGGCTTCCAGGGAAGGAGAAATCAGGACCAAGTGGAAGGTCAGAAGCAGAGGCCAAGGGAGGCTGGTCCTTTTGCTTTCTTAGAGTCACCACTTGTCATGAGGGTGTCACCCTGAGTCTGTTGCACCCTTGGGAGTCTCTTCTGCCAAGACTCTTATGTCAGATGATGTTTAAGGTGATTGAAGGATCCTGAGAGCTAATTTTTCCTCCAGAACTGCGATGTTAGACTTCATCTGTACCTTGTCTTTTAGTCTACACGATGGAAAAACTGTAATTTAAGAAAAGTACTGTATTTAACAATTCCCTAAGGAAGGCCTTGTTTTTGCTTGAGTCAAGGATCACAATTTGTCAGTCATGTGCTTTCCAGGAAACAAATGACACACCGAATGTCACTTCTCTTATGACTAAAAAATTAGTATCTCCCAGTGCTCTGCCAGCCCGAGAAAGATGAAATAGATTGCCTAAAGTCTCTGTTAATTTAAAACAGTGAATTCAGTCTTTTAAAATATATTATTTATCCATATGCTACACTTCAGATTAACCTACAGTATGAGAAATTATAATTCAAGAAAGTTTTTCTTTGATCAAAGAAATCATTAAAATATTACCAAATATTTTTATATCCATTTCCTACTCTTTAAGTTTCTGATATCTTTTCTTGTTCTCTTAGGAATATTATCATGTACAATGCAAACAGTGTGGACGCCTATAAATCAAATAATGAAGTTTTCAAGTAGTTAAGAAATATGTATTAAACAGAAATGACATGCCAGCAGCAATGTATCAATCCTGAAATGTACAGCAGCCTAAACTTGATCTTTGTTAAAAAGAACTTCTAGTACTATATATATAATATTTTAAAATCTTTATCCATTTGTTTAATTACATACTATAGACCAGCACTGACCAATAGAAATATAACTGTGAGCCAAATATGTAACTTAAAAGTTACTAGCAGGCACATTGAAAAAGAAACACACAAAATTAATTTCAATGATAGTTTATTTAACCCATATCCAAAATTCTGTCACTTCAACATATAGTGAATATTTTTAAGTTAATGAGGTCAGATATATTCTTCATGTAAATCTTGGAAATCTAATGTACATTTTCAGCACATTTCAGGTGTTAGGTAACCTTATACGGCTAGAGAATACTGTACTTGACAATATTGCTAATGACAATTCCAGGATAAAGCATGACATTATTTACTATTTTAAAAATTATGTGTTCCTGGAATGAGAAAAAGAAGTAGTCATTTTAAAAATGTAGTTGTCTCCATTACAACGAGTATAAGAAAATCTTGTAAAGTATTCCCAGGAATGGCAATTCTATCCTAGATACATATTCAACAAAAAGAATCATGTACTCACCCAGATATACGTACAGGAGTACTCACAAAAAGCCCTGTTCATAATATTCCTAAAACAGTGCTCCTAAAGTACCCAATACTATTGTAATGGATTAGTTGATCATGTAATATGCATGCAATATGCCATATTATGAACCAAAGAAAGTAAAAATTCAACAACTGCATGCAACGTAATGAATCTCACAGATACGTACCGTACCTATTGTATCATTCCTTTCAGACAAAGTTTTAAAAGCTGGCAAAACTCACCTGTGGTGTTAGAAGTTAGGATAATAGTTATCCCTGTTGGATCATAGAGGTCATTAACAAAGGTGGGATACAAGAGGGGACCTTAAGTGCTGTAATGCTTCATATCTTTATCTCTATTCTGGTTACATGGGTGTTTTATTTTTGCAAATTCTTTACCCTGGACACTTAAATACATATACAGATCTCCTTGGCCTCTGATAGGATTATGTCTCAATAAACATAAGTTGAAAATATTAGGTCCAAAATGTATCTGACATCTAACCTCGTAAACACTATAGCTTAGCTTAATCTGCCTTAAATGTGCTTAGAACACTTAAATTGATCTACATTTAGGCAAAATCTTCTACAAATTCCATTTTAGAATAACATGCTGAATATCTTATATACTGAAAACTGTACTAAAAGTGACAACAGAGTAATTGGATAAATATCTTTTTGCACCATCATTAAGTCAAATTGTAAATTCACCCACATAAATCAAGGCCTGTATTTTCTGTAGGTACGTATTTACTTAATAAAAGTTTTATTTAAAAATAAGGAATAGAGGATCTTGACTAAGCAAAACATCTTCCAGAAATGTACAGATTGCTTAGTAAAACATGGATTATTCAAAATATGTATCTTATATGAGAAATATAATTCTATACAGCTAATAAAGTCTTATATTATTCATTATAATGAGACTTCACATTGGAATGTGTCATCCATTCAGATTTTCACCACCTTATGTTCATGTTAATATTTATGATAATAATAGTAATAATACTGATTACATGTCTTGATTCAACTGTAGGTCTCCGTGAGTGCTGTGGGTGATGCAAAGAGGTAAAGGTAAAATTTGTGCCTTCAAGAAGTCATGAGAGAAAGAACATATCCCATGACCAAGTGGGATTTATCCTGGGAATGCAAAGTTGGGTCAACATATAAAAATTATATAATATACTCTATTAACAGAATAAATGGAAAATCCACATGGTTATTTTATCAAATGTGGAAAAGCTTGCAACAAAAGCCATTACCTTTTCATGATTAAAATAATAAAGCCACAAAACTAGCAATAGAAGGGACTCTCCTCAACCTGAGAAGGGGCATCTATCAATACCTCACAGTTAATGTCATACTTCTAAAGACTGAAAGCTTTCCCCTTTAAATCAAAAAGTAAAAAAAAAAAAAAATGCTAATGAGCAAACATTTCAGCAGAATATACTAGCAATATAAAAAAATCAGATCCATGTCAGTACATTAGCAACGAGCAACCTGAAAATAAAACAACCCAAGTCTGTTTGTAATAACATCAAAAAGAATAAATACAGACAATAAAAGCAAATATAAACAAGTGAGATTGTATCAAATTGAAAAGCTCTTGCACAGCAACAGAACAAAGAGAAAACATATGGATTGTGCATCTGATCAGGGATTTATAGCCAAAATGTTTAAGGAACTCAACCTCAAGAGCGAGAAAACAAATAGCCCAATTTAAAAATGGGCAAATAGCATGGATATTACAGTATTATAGACATTCTTGAACAGATAGTTTTGAAAGAAAGCATACAAATGACCGAGAGGTCTATGAAAAAAATGTCAAACATCATAAATCATCAGAGAAATACAAACTAAAACCACGGTATCACCTCACATGTGCCAGAATGGCAGTTATCAAAAAGGCAGAAATGTTGGTGAAGGATGGGGACAAAATGGGAACTTTGTACATTCTTGGTGGGAATGTAAGTTGGTATAGCAATTGTGGAAAACAGCACAGAGGTTCTCAAAGGAATATATCAAAACATGACACAGTCTACTTAAACATATGCATTTGTATTCATCAGCTGTATATTATAGCTTAATTTAAAATATTTAAAAATAGAAAAAATCAAACACTTAGGAATAAATATAACTAAAGAAGTACAAGTTATGTACTTCAAGAAAAGTTCCCAAAGTATCATCCTGAAAGAAAATTTAAACAAAAATCCTGAATGAATTCTTGTGTGCATAGATTAGAACATGTAATATTGTGAAGACAGCAACATTCCCTCAAATGATCAACAGATTCAATGCACTTCCCATCAAAATTCTAATCTCTTTTTCCCATAATTTGACAAGCTGAACTAAAATTCATATGGAAATGACAAGAAAGGATCAAAACCAAGCAAGCAAGCAAACAACAAATAAATAAATAAAATGAATATGTAAATAACTATAAAAACATGTTGGTGAGGATGAACGTTGAGGCCTCAGACCCTGCTGATTGGAATGTAAAAAGGCATCGCTCCTGTAGGAAATACTTTCTTAGTTCTAAAGAAAATAAAACACGTTTTTAACAGTCTTTAAAACAACATTTCCACTCCTAGCAATATACCTATGTATTAAAAGCACATATGGGACAGGGGATATAGCTCAGCAGCACAGCATCTACCTGGCAAGTGTGAGGTCATGAGTTCAAGTCCCAGTACAAAAAAGTGCATGTTCACATAGAAATATGTATGTAAATGTTCATAGCAGCATTAATCATAACAGCTGGCAAC